TTTTCTTTCTTTCTAACACGACTTTGTATCTAATATCACTTTCATGGCTCTATATTTTACTTATACCTTGTATAATATTTATTTTCATTACATATATTAATGTGATTTTATAGTTTTATATATTCTTTATTATGCTTATTTTATGTGTGTATACATTTATTCTCTCGTTTTGCTATCTTGTGAATTTAATTTTTCAAAGGTTAAATGCTTCTATAGTTTGCAGTTGCTAATAATTCATTTGTTCTCTCTTTTTATTTGTATATGTTTATTTTAAAATATTAAAAAAATTATTTTATTTTCAAATAGTTTATTTGTTGATATTGAAATATTTTGAATATTATTGATAACTTTATAAGATACAATTACTGTTATTCAGCAATGTTTGTATCTTGTAAAAATATATCCTAATAATATTTTCCTAATATATCAGCATTATGCAAAAAATATAAAAAATGAAATCAATCAATAATTAGATAAATATATCACAATTTGGGTTGATTATAATTGTTGTTGTATCAGAGTTATCTAACACATATTTGAGTTTGTTTTTTTTAATAAACAAATATAAGGCACTGCTCAAATTCGACTCGTTGAAGCTCAGATCGATTTACTCGTTTAATAAATCTAAAATCCTAACAATTTGTTTGTGAATAACTCATTTCTCATTTATTCATTTTTATATTAGTTATTATGCAACGTTTACTAAAATTTTTTCAAACATAATATTATAACTACAAGTATATAAAAGTTTCAATAAGTTTTAAAAAGTCCACTATGAAAGTCTTAAAAAGTCACTAATGAAAACTATATGAAAGTCTCAAAAAATCCACCAAAGTCATGAAAGTTCTACAAAGTCCACAAAAGTCATCAAATTTAAAAAGTTTTAAAAAGTCCTTAATAATCTCAATTGAATACACCCTCCTTAGATTCACCATTGCAACAATTTATTGGGGCCTAACCGCCTAAGACCATATTTATACCCGATCCAATTCAACCAAAATATTAACAACTCAATCTTACAAGTTACAATTCAACTTATATTTATTCTCAACCTAACCCAACTTAAAATATTATCTTATTTTATTTTCTAAGTATTATCTACAATTAATTTTTATTATTGTTTTAGTTGTGACAATTTAACTAAAAAAATATATAATTAAAATCGTAATGATAAAAATATTATTTTACCATATAATTAAAAACATAAACCCAATTAAAATTTGTGAGTTTTGGGCATCTTCAAAAGTAAGAGTTAAAAAAATTGAGTAGTATTTGGAGAAAACGATTTGTGTGAATATTTTTCAAAATTTAAAATTGTCTTATGTGAAAAATATAGTCATTCAAATAGCACGAAACCAGTGTCTCCACTACTATTGTGTGCCCTGACACACCTTTTCATTCTATGATGTAACCTATTCTTCAGTCTATTATTGCACTTGGCACACCTAATTATTGGCGAGTGTCTCCTTCCCAACAATGCAGTCTGATCGTGACATATTTTCACGATTTTTTTTTTTTTTTGGTTTGTCATTTTCCGAATGACCAACTGAATAAGTCACCCATAAATAATGTCCAACACGTATAAGACTATGTTTATCCGTGACCCTGTTGTTGGGTCACGGAGAAAAGACAAAATATTTAAAAAAAAGGAAAAAGTCATCAAATATGACGACCCAAGTCACAATGTGACTTTGGGTCGCGACTCGATTGTTGGTTAGGAATGGAACACTTGTCCAATTTTTATTGGACAAGTTTTTTTTTTTTTTTTTGTTAAAAAAATTAAAAAGTACTAAAATTCATATTTTTTCATGCTCTACAAATAGAGACCACATTTGATATATTTTGGAACACAATTATAGTTTTTAAATAAATTAAATTAAATAAATATTTTAAGTTGGGTTGAGTTTCGGATAAAGATAATTTGAGTTAAAATGTTAGGTTGGGTAGGTGGAAGTGAGAGAAATAATTTTTAATTATTAGATTAGATTGAGTTAGATTGTTGATAAAAATAGTCTAAGGATATCGGTATACACATCTAATATGCAATTAATGAACACAACGAAGTTCCTTGAATCATTCAATAAGCACCACATATGACATAAATCATAATTAATTAATTATACCTCCATTTGTGAAAATATTTAACTTATATAATCCTTTTTTTTTGGGATAATAATGATAATTTGAAAAAAGGAGCTAGAAAAGTCGGGAAACAATCCTTCCACAAGAACGATCCCATCGATCAGATAGCCCATTTAGCTAAATTATGAGCTATAACATTGTGTTCACGTCTAACATTACTACAATTTCAACAATTCAACAACTTCAACAGATCAACTATATCAAAGAAGATATTATGCAAGAGATCATTCGAATGTTGGTATGAGATACCAAAAATGAGTCAGTCTTGGAGGTTTGAAGCATCGAAGTCCAAATCGGAAAGCCCATTTAACTTATATAATCTTGAATATGCTTTGAATCCAACATATTTCCATATACTAAAGCTTTGCGGTGGTTGAAGCATGGAGGATTGATTATCTGAGGGCAGCCTTTCAACGGCATGACGATAGCCACAAGGAAACAACATAGGTTAGTTTTTCTAACTTTGTGCCTGCAGATGAACTGTTCGATGATATGTCTCTTAGAGATCAACTGTTTGTGTAGTGAACTCGCATTCACAAAAATTATCTGTTCTTAAGTTACACTCATTTGTAGATGGAAAACAACACAGTTAGGATTCAACAAAAGCTCTCAGTAAATACCCAAAAAAACAAA